ATATATATATATATATATATACTCGACAAATTATTTAAGAATAATTTCATATTTAAAATATTCTGATCGTGCAGCAGAATATTGCTATTACTATATTAGAAATAATACAAATAATACTACATATAATGCATATAATTGCATAATATATATTATATACATTATTTGTAATATATATATATGTATCTGCATATATGTATATCATATATAATGTAGTAATAGCAAACTCTTTACTTATTAATATTATTAATTATACCATATATAAACAAATTATCATTTTCTTAATCATAGGGAAGGAAAAAAACTACTTTGGAACAACACGAAATACTGATACAATTTATGGAAGGACATCCTGATTTAGCCCAAAATAGGATACAAAGTCTTGAGGCACGAAAACAAGCAGCACATTTGTGGGAGCAGCTAGCAAATGAATTGAATAGTTGTGGCCATGGAGCTACAAAGTCAACAGAGAAATGGATGAAGGTACGCTTAGATAGAATCATGTATTGCTCCCCTTAGGATTTCAATTTCTTTTGTAAAAAATATCTAGACATTTGTTTTGCACTTATGTACTTTGTAGTCAAGGAGAGACTGGCGTTTGGATGTAAAATCTAAAGCATCCAAATTAAGAAATTATCAGAAAGGAACAGGAGGAGGAGGTCCATCACCAGCATCTTTACAAGAAACAGAAAAGAGATTAATTGCTTTGATGGGGATAGAATCAGTAATTGGGCACTTAAGCGTAACAGATCCTGCAGAGGTTTGTAGTACATTAAATTTTGCTTTTAATAACTTAATTTTTTACATTTTACTATTAATGTAAAGTTTACATTTTACTAATAACATAATAGTAACTATCCGATTGGCTACATCATGAATTGACTAATTTAATATAAAATATTCGCATTGGTGGTATATTAAAAAGTATCAAGTCGATATGAGATTTGTTCGCATTGCATACTCCAACATGCTCCTAGAGCGAGACCGTTCCCTACATTTTACATTTTTTATATACTCATTACTGTCTTACTATTCTTAATTTTATTCTTTCATTATTATCTATTTTTTCTTCTTTCATTATTGGATTTAGTCTGAAAACTGGGCTGAACAAACTGTAACGTCAATTACACCATCCACAATTGTATCTCATAATTCAGATATTCCACAACAACATACTTCACAGACAATCACATTTTCATTACCTGACACGCACTCATCTTCTCTACTTCCTCAACAAGAGTACAGACAATATCCATAGATAAGATCTATAAACAAACAACAGCCACCGATAACATTTACAAATAGACAACATCCACAAACAATATCCACAGATAACAGACAACATTCACAGACAACAGATAATATACTCCAAAATACTTTACGGACAACATCCACAGATAACAGACAACATTCACAGACAACAGATAATATATTCCAAAATACTTCACGGACAACATCCATAGGTAACAGACAACATTCATAGGCAACATATAATACAGACAACATACTCCAATCTATTCCACAAACAACATCCACAGCTTTATCACCTTACACATACTCACCTACTCATCTCTCTCAACAAGAAAACACTATTTCACAACATACTCCACAAACAATATTCACACACTCATCAACATTGATGCATTCCCCTCAAGCAACATTGATGCATTCGCCTCCATTCTGCGAACCAATATCCGAACAATCCCAAAGAAAGCGCCTAAAAAAACAAAAGACTTCAGATATTCGTGGTAAGATACGTGGTCAAAGTAAAGTTTGTTTAAGAGTATAATGAAAGTGAAAAATATGTTTATTTAAATGTAATTATAAGTAAAATTTAATTTTTACACATATGCTTTTACAATTTTTGTTCTTTTAGATATCGATATACAAATATTACATGAAATGCAGGCTCAAACAGAAACACTTAAAAAATTGACAGATGCTGTTATAGATGTTGCAGCTACTATTAAACATTTTATGAATGTAGAGGTGGTACGTATGATAATAATTAATATTATAACAATAAAAGCAGTTAACTCTTTTTTATCACACATTGTTGTATATAATTTTAGAAATACAATCTTATTTACAGATATATCGTATGCAAATGAGAACGATGAAGACGGGCATTAGAACAATTTAACATTTCCTGTCACACCCGAGGAACAGATATGTGTGCAAGTGGAAGATAAATCTAGTTGGGCTGGATTCCATACCCAGAAAACTTGGCTGGAACATCGCTTCCAAACAATGGAAGCGCTCGTTGCTATAACCTGGAATCAAACCGTTATTCGTATTCATTATATTCAGACAACTAATTTTTTTTTTAAATTAGCTTTATAAAATTTAGCAACCCAATTTTTTGTCTGGCTTTTTCTCGAAATTTTATATTTTTTGTAAGCGTAATTTTTTTAAATAAAAAAAACAGAAAGAAATACCTTCGTAAAGTACTGTATGTCATTTTTATTAATTATTTGCCAATCGAGTTGCAAGATGATTGCGCATTCTCTGCCCTTCATTAAATATAGCTCGGCCTTCCGGTACTGGCTGTATTTCTCCATTATTCATGTCATCTTCCATAGCCATAATTGCCTCTTCAGGTTCTGGAGGAAGAGGTATATTTGCACGTATGCACATATTGTGCAGTACTGCACAGGCATTTATTATTTGACCTGCTTTTTCTGGAGCATATTCTAGAGTACGATATCTAAGGAGACATCGAAACCGTTTTTTCAAAACGCCAATGCAACGTTCTACACCATTTCTCACGGTACTGTGTCTTTGATTAAAATGTTCCTCTTGTGTACCTGGCTGCACTTCAGGAAACGGAGTTAACAGCCACGGTTCTAACGGATATCCAGAATCTCCTTAAAAAATAAAAAAAAGTTTACATTATGTTCAGTAATCTCGTTTAATATTTTACTAATTCAATAAACATTTCAATAACTTAAATTAATAATTACCAAATAGCCAACAATGATTATTATGTGCATGTTGCATCTGTAGAAGATGCCTAACGTATGAATTTCTCCTTCATACAAAGGAATCATGGGTAGATCCTGGATATCTTGCTAATATATTCAGAATATACAAATCCGTATCACATATCTAATAAAATATAATATAAAAATATACATTATTGATGTTTATTAATTTTCTGCAATCTGAATTTTTTGTCCAGCCCAAATATTTTTCCTAAATTGTCAAAAAATGTATCTAAACATTTAGAATTACTTTTTAATCTCTATTATATTATCAAATAATTTTTTTAACTCAGATGTTAAAATCTATATTTAATAAAAATTTTTTTTTATTTTCAGAAAATTTCGCTTGAATAAAAAAAAACAGATTGCAAACGGAAAGTTAATATACATGTAAATACTATACGAAACATATACTTCAACTGTAACTTATGGTCATGTATGGTGTGCATGCGTGTGTACGTATGTATATCATTATATGATGTTACAAAAATGTATTCAAATGTAAAATATTTTTCGATTTCAATAGCAATATATATGTATGTATGTATTTTTTGTGTGAACGTTTTCATCATTAACATTTTTCCTGTTGAAATTAAAATATATTTTATATTTGAATATATTTTACTTGTTAATATTAAAAGTTGTTTATATTACAAATTCAAATTACTTACAATTTGCACATGTTGTGCATGATATCCTTTTCTATTAACATACAGTCCTTCGTGATTAACAGGTACTCTTATAGCAACGTTAGTTCCATCTACAAAACCAATTAAGCCTGGAATTCTGGTGATATTATAATTTCTGAAACAGTTTTTCTCTTTTTATTTACCGATCTCTTATGTAAACACAGAGGACGATGCAGAAATTAGATATTATAATTCGACCAGTCAAATAATTTTAATTTTAATCTGTTTCGTTCTGATTGATTGAATTGTAATCTTTAATTCGCAATCATCAATCTCGAATGCGTAATGTGACACGGGCTTGATGGATGTGTATATGTGTGTATGCATGTATATATATATATGTATATATATATATATGGGGCATTCCACGCCAAGTCGGACAGTTTCAAAAATTTTTTTTTTTGATTTGCCTAATTTTTTGATATTTTTTAGTACCCATCAAAAGACCCTTTCGGGTAAATTTTGAGATTTTTAGAATCACAGGTTCAAAAGATATCGAATTTTCAAAAAAACCGGTCTTTTTTTGGTTTTTTGGTCATAATTTCTTCAAAAATGGTCCAAATTAAAAGTTTTTTTTTTTGAAATTTTTGTTTTTT